TTCTCCTGGTCTCACGACTGCTGGCGCCTCTAACCAAGGTAACGGTTGCACCTGGCTCTGGATTTTCATTCCTCTCCTCTCCTGACTTTTATGGCAGGAACAAGCAAGCGGGCATACAATTAACAACTCTAACATTTAACCCTGTCAACTATGCATCACTATTCTACAATTTAACTATGCTTTGATTGCTAGCTTGCGCAGATCCTGACATTCATTCTATCTTTCATCCACTTAATTCAGGATTGTCCATACTGATGTACAATAACTCTCCAGGATTTTTAGATAGTGGATTTTCTGAACTCGAACTGGAGATGTCAAGGATGAAACTTGGCACATTTTGAAATCACATTCAAGGGCTCTACTACAAAACTACAGTCTTTCTTCTAAAGACAAAACATATTTCCAGTCCTCAGGATCTGAACAGCGGGTTGATTTGATCCAGAAGATAGGAAGCCTTATTCTGTGTCAGGGCAGTGTCCACTGAATTAAGACTGTCAAGAATTGAATTGCAGCAACAATTCTCTGGAGATTGAGGACAGAAAATTTCTCTTACCAATGCACAGAAGTTAAGGATTGAACTTGGGACCATTTGCAGACAAATCAGGTGCTCTGCTATGAATGGCACCTCCAGCATCCTTTCTCCAAGTATGGTCAGTTGATGTCCATGAGATTTTCATAATCTAAACCCCACAGTTAATTTTCAGAGTAATTTTGTCTCCTTGACGTTTAGTAACTTAGAGTTTAGGGTACAGCCTTGCATAGAACACTTTTTAATATAGCTTTTTTATAAAAACTATCTAAGCGATGACCTTCCAATTGAATTCCCCTGAATTTTAATGCCTTTGGTAAGGACAGAACAAATTTAATCTCTTTTTGGCTCCAGAGTGGACTCAGAGGCTTTTTAAGCCAGGGCTGAGGAACTTGTAAACTTTCAGAAGTTCAGTCTAGAAAAAAAGAAGAGTCAGGGAAGAAGGCTAGCCATGTACAGCTACATAAAGGGAAGCTACAGGGGAGTTGGTCAAGAATTCTTTTCCATGGCCACAGAAACTAGGATCAGAAACAATGGGTATAATTTGCAGCTGTCTCAATTTCATTTGAATATCAGGAAAAACTTCCTGTTTGAAAGATCTGAACAACCATAGAAGATGTGGGTTCTTTATCTCTGAAAGATTTTCAGAAAAGGCTGGACAGCCACTTCTTAAATATAGTTTAACTGGTTTTCCTGCACTCTTCAGAGGGTTGAACTAGATGATACCTGGAGTCCCTTCCATCTCCATAATTCTGTGATTCTAACTAATCTAACTAATGGTTTTCTTGCCCATTGCAAACAGTTGGACTAGATGATCCTTGGGATCATTTCCAACTCTGTACTTCTATGACTGTGGCCTAAAATTTGCTGCCTTAGGGCTGAACTTTAATCACCATCTGCAACAAGGCCAGAGACCAGTGTGTCCTTCCTGTTACACAGTAAGATGCCTCTGTGGCAATCCGGCGTCCAGTCTCTCTTGGGTCCCAAGCCAAAATGGCCATGAGGGCAGTGCCCAGTGACTGGAGAGCAGATGTTGTGCCCAGAGAACCCTACATTGGCCATTAGGAACTGGGATGTCATCAACCACATTGTCAACAAGGTGTCCTAGATTGTGTCTGTAGTAAAACTTACACTGTGAGAAGACTATTTAAAACTGGAACAGATGACTTTAAGTTATCTCAACTACAGACTGGTGATATGATGGTGACAAAGAATTGATGATATGGTGATTGATGGTGACAGAGTCAGCTGGAGTTGGTCCATGTCCAAATAAGAATGAATGAATGAATGAATTAATTAATTAATTAATGAACGAATGAATGAATGAATGAAGTCATAAATAAAGTCCTACAAAAGTGGTTACCAGGGCATGTCTGAGCCATGGGATGGGGGACTTGATGAAGCTGGATAGTTGTTTGTTGGAGAGTTTTAATTTGACAAGCTAGACATTCCCAGTCCTTCCAACTATGCCTCAACAATTGTTGTTGATCAACTACAGCTTTGTTGCAACTGATAGTGTTCCTTCTTTAAGCCACCATAGGTAGAATATGTGGAATAGAATATATGGAAAATAGTGGAGTAGGTAGAATATATGTGGAACATGAGCAAGTAAATTGAATGAGACCTTATTTTCTCTTTTTTCAATATATTTGCACATGAGAAGCCAATCAGTCATAGATTTGGTTTGGGGAAACAAAATTGCTTGTCCAGCATAGTAAGTTGCAAATAACTTGTGAGATGCACAAAGCTTGGCTGTGTTAGCTGGATAGAACCTGCAGTGTCAATGTCAGTCTACTTCTGGCATTTAGAATAAAACAAGGGGGAATTTTTGCCTTCAATAGTTTGTGAAATTCCAAAGAGCACTAAGGGTTGGTCACTGCTGGAAAAAGAAACTTAGGATAAGATGGACACTTGTGCCAATGCAACAGAGGTCTCTCTATGTATGTACGGGGCTTTTGTTCAAAATGGTTGTACTTTACTACTACTTTACAGGGATTTAAATGGATGGAAGATATCTGTCCAGCAGTTGAGGCATGGAACCTCCATGTGCAGAGTGGTCTACCTTTAAATATAAGAGACTAGGTATAAATAGAAGCGAATATGTCTAGCTCAGGATTGAACTGTGGAGTCCTTGGGGTTCTCTGAGCTTGGTTGTTTTCTTGCAAA